TTACAGTTTAGAACATTTATCTAAAAATGAAAGGATCTATGACATGACACAATTAACAATGTAATGTTTTATCCACTTTGCTGGACATGTTCTGTTTACAGTTTAGAACATTTATCTAAAAATGAAAGGATCTATGACATGACACAATCAACAATGTAATGTTTTATCCACGTTGCTGGACATGTTCTGTTTACAGTTTAAAACTTTTATCTAAAAATGAAAGGATCTATGACATGACACAATCAACAATGTAATGTTTTATCCACGTTGCTGGACATGTTCTGTTTACAGTTTAAAACTTTTATCTAAAATTAAAGGATCTATGACATGACACAATCAGCAATGTAATGTTTTATCCACGTTGCTGGACATGTTCTGTTTACAGTTTAAAACTTTTATCTAAAAATTAAAGGATCTATGACATGACACAATCAGCAATGTAATGTTTTATCCACGTTGCTGGACATGTTCTGTTTACAGTTTAGAACTTTTATCCAAAAATGAAAGGATCTATGACATGACACAATCAACAATGTAATGTTTCACCAGATTGCTGGCAGCTGTTCATAAATTGGTATTAAAATTAAACCATTTAAATTATTAAATATTATTTATATAAATGTCTGTAAAAAACTACATTAATATTTTCTTCATTGATCATATTACTACATTTTTCTATTGCTTAAAAATCTTTAAAATTTTCATATTGGTACATATGTGTGTGTGTGTGTGTATATGTTTAGTTGAAGGTGTTTTAACAGTAAATCTTCTTTGCTAGTAACTAGGTTAGTTTACAGTACCAAGGTTATTAATATACCAATTGTCTCAAAGTTTTGTTTGGCATGTTTGTGATTCATTTTGTAAGAAGAGATATAATTCATGTCTGCCTTAAAACTTATGAAGTGTTATCATTGAGTGTCACTGAAATAAAAATGAGGAGTTAATAATGAATGAACTTGGAGCAACAAGAATAGGAAACCATGCTACTTTAAATTTGAGAAATAAAAAAAAATTAAACCTGTGTTCCATGCTTATACTGTTTTTATAATAAAGTTTAGCTCAGTAGACAAAGTTTTTGTTGTTGGAAATTGCATCTTAGCCTTGGCAACTAGAATCTTACTTTATTTTTGTAAAGGAATGAAACAAAAAGTAACAGCCTATTTAACTTTGAATATGTATGTAATCAAAACGTGTGCTGGTTGTAGTATATCTGAACATTGGTATGATAACAGTAGATATCAAAGAATCTTATCTATAATATAGTATATTTTCTCTCTAGTTAGCTAAGTACTGTGATTCACTACTTAAGAAAAGTGCAAAGGGAATTTCTGAATCAGAAATTGAAGACAAACTTTCTCAGTCAGTCACTGTGTTTAGGTATATAGATGACAAAGACATCTATCAAAAAGTAAGTATAGAATTATAGAGAATTACTAAAGTGTTTCCTGCTTAATAAATAGAGGCTTGTACATTAATTATCTACATCTCAATATTCTTTGCTGTAATGCCTGGTTATGAAATGTATTAGTGAAAATTATTCTATTTGCTCAAACACAAATTATTACTGTACCTGTGTGAACTTTTAGTACAATTCATAAAGAAAAAATATATAAAAGAATATACTAGAAGTAATTTCTAATTTTTTTAGTTTTTGTTCAATGACACTGTTTCTTTTTTTTGTATTTATATTTGTCATACCAGTTTCCGTTCCATCATTTTAAGAGAGATAAAATCAGTAAGTAACTAGTTATATAATTATTTGTGTTATAAATATATTATTTTTAATTTTCTAGTTTTATGCAAAAATGCTAGCAAAAAGACTAATTCATAGCCAGAGCATGTCGATGGATTTGGAAGAAACTATGATTAATAAACTTAAGGTATGTGAGAAATTTGTGTTGTATAATATAATTATATAGAAATTTTGTGTTAAAATAGACATTTTGAGTCCTTCAAGGTTGTATATACAGAATGATAATTGTGTAATTCAATCAACAATGAATTGTCCATGTGTAGAAACTCTTCAATGTAGACAGTCCATGAGGAAGTACAGGCAGATTCATCACATAGTTAACCAATTTTCAATTTCCTGTTGTAGTATTGCATTTCCATTGTCAATTCGTGTTCCTTTTCTTGATTTTTACAAACAAAAAAAAACTATGTTATTTGAAATTAAGAATTCCAAAGATATTTCATTACTTTTTATATCCAATTTACTTATAACATTCTTTAAATGTTATTTAAAAATTGGAAAGTGTTATTAAGAATGTATTGCACACTTTATTTACGACAAATGATGAACATTAAAAAAAATGTCAAACGGTTTGAAAAGAGCTATGAATTAAGTTAGTGTTCTTGAATTATGAAGATTATAACACCTCATGGTTAATAAACTCTCTACCATAATTTCCACCGTAACTTCATAAATAGCAAGAAATCAACTTTGTACCTTGACTGGTTATGTACTGAAATTTTGCACATAAAATAAGTGTGAAAGTGCAATTAATAAATATTTCTTCTTATGTCACAAAAAGGCAGGAGAAGGAAAGTGCTCATGTCACTTGACTGGCTATCATGTATTCATAAAGAGCAACAGATTGAATTGATGGTGATGTAACAATAAGTTATAATTAGGTTTGTATTGGAAAATAAACATTTAATTATAAACAAAAGTTTTAAAACCTAAATATGTATTTAACAGATTAATGAGGTAGAAAACATGGTCTATTGATTAAGAAGCAATTAAAAATGCTTACATTTGTTGTAGATTTAAATAACTGATTTTTATGGTATCCTATGTTTTTTAAACTTTCTATTTTATTAAATTGTAAATTTTAACTTTGTTTTGGTTTAAAAACCTGCACAGTTTTATCGTGTTGATGATCGCTGGAATACAGTAAACAAATTTCTTTTTACCACTTGAGAAGTATAAGTAAACTGACTTTATAAAATATTGTTAATCATGAGGTTTCACTTAATATATGTAATAAGTTTTAACCCATTTTATACTCATTTATATATATATTTTTTACATTTCTTTTTTAGGGATTTTCTACACCCATTCAAAAAGTTACTTTGACTCGTAAGGCCTGATATAAACAGGACCTAACAACAGCAGTCTTGTTTGTTAAATGAAACTTGGTACATGGTTCGGTTCAAAATGAGCTAACTAAGCCTACTTAACCTTGTTCCATGAAAAACATTTCCTATCGTGCTGCAACATCATAATTCCAATAAAATATAAAAAAGATAAAGGAAGCTTATAAAAACAAATTAGGACTGTAATTGTACCAGCAACATATCAAAAGCTAAGCTTTTATCACTTTCTTCCAGTCTTTGTATAAGTCTTCCTTGAACTGGAAGCCATTAAGAGCTTCCATTATGCATGAAGATCACTATCTTATGACTTCTCAAAGCTGAGATATAGACAAGTATATCACATCATGACAACAAAGACTGAGAAACATGGCTCAAATTAGTGTTATTTTTTTTTAAACTATTTTGACTTCCCTCCTAAGGGTCTATGAATGTCGTCTTGTGCTTTAGGGAATTCAGGAAATTTACAGATAACTATGTTTCATTTGGAGCACACTAAAATCAAAATCTGTGATTAAATTAACTAAGAACAACTATTTTATTAAATAAGTTCCAACTCTGTGGTACTAAAAACATGAGGGAAAAATGATTACTAGCATATTTTCTTTTCTTTAATTAAGTTGTGCAAATTTGCCCTCGAGATGCCAAGTGTGATAGACTTAGTAAACTATAGTGTTAAAATTGTGATTTATTGATTAAAAATAATAAGAGTAGTATGTGTACTGAAATACTTTTTATGCATTCCTTTTTTGTTGTTGTTGTTATTTTTGCCAAATTAAAATTATTGTTTTCTTGCTCAGCAAGCATGTGGCTATGAATTCACAAGTAAACTGCATAGGATGTTTACTGACATGAGTGTCAGTGGAGACCTGAACAACAAGTTCTCATCATTTCTCAGAACAGAGAATATAGACCTAGGTATTAACTTTTCTATATACGTCTTACAGGTAAGAATTATTTTGCAAAATTTGTATTTGTGTTAATGATGTTATAATGTATTCATTTCTGCCTGTATAGTAACTGTAGCACACCACTGTGTTAATATTACCCGAGTTGCAGTACACAGCCAAGCTCTTGTGTATTGTATTTTATGGTTATGTTGATAGAACATAACTTGATGTGTTAGTTTGATATGCCACAGATATTCTCCTTATTTTATATTTTGAACACTAAAATGTGTTGATATAAAAACCAATAAGTGAAATTAATTTTGATGAAATTTGGTAGAGTGACTCAGAGGGACCCCACCCCTCAAAGATTGAGGAACAAATTGAAACAGTTTATTTTGTTATTTTATTACCACTGATTTAATTTTACTTTATGTGTAATTGTAGCTTCGTTGTCACTTTCTTTATGTGTTCTATATAATTTAATCCTTTAAATTGGATGAGAAGTTATACCAATTGGGCAGGTTTCTGTTGGTTAAGAATTGCCATGTAGTGTGTATACAATTTTCTTACAAATAAAACTAATTTATTTTTTGGTAATTTAGATATATATATATCTACAATCTGTGTTGAGTTCTACCGTTATTGGGAAAAGAAAGTAAGATTTGAACATGCATGCATGGAAAGTATCTACCCCATTAACTTAAAATTGGTTATATATACATACAATGTGTATAAAATTATTGTGTTATGTGTAGTAGATATATATATTACTTTAACCAATATAGATATGAGAACAAAATTTTTTACATAAGATTAGTGTCTTTTACATCAACTAAAAATATAATATTTTTAAATGGCTGGTTGATTGGTATTGCATGCAGTTTATTGAAGTAAGTATACACAGATAACTTTAAAAGCTTAGAAGCATTTCTTATAGTTTCCAATTCTGATAACTAGGGGGTTCTGCACACAAATTGTGAGGTATTTTTGCTTGAAAATTAAGATTATATGATCTTACATCATGTTTCTTAAGACATAGATAATGCAAATTTATTTGTGTAAAGTTAATATTTTTTGCTATAGAGTACCATAGATAATTCAAGTGAAGTACATTCATGTATTCTGTGGAAGCAGATTTTTTTATGATGATTTTACTATTGTTTTATCGGGATCAACAAAAACAAAGCTAAAAAAACTACTGCAGTGACGTGTGAATAGAGTTTACAGCCTTCAGTGGCATTGAACTTTTGATTAATCTATAATATTAATATTTTTGAATTTTTAGGCAGGGGCATGGCCACTTGCACAGAGTGCAATTTCTCCTTTTGCAATTCCTCAGCAATTAGAAAGGAGCGTACAAAAGGTAATTTCACAAAATTGTCCTTATGTTTCAGAAGTTATCAGACTTTACCTTTTCTCTATCTTATATTTTTCATAATTATTCAGAGTTTGACAGTATAGAATTAAAGGGTTTTTCCATATGAGAATAAGGTATCAAATAAATTCAAGTGTACTAACACAGGCCTGTAAATTTAAACTCATAAAAGTTGTTTTGGTTTTAATAACAAATTTTCCATAATACAGTAATGCAGATTTCGAAAATAATATTAATTTTTTTTCTATCGTATAAGGATTTTTTACAAATCGGGAAGAAGAAAAAAAAAACCTCTTACTTAGATCAAATTATTATTTTGTTTATCACAATGAACATTTTTTGTTATTATGTTTATTAACAAAAATACAAACAAACTGAAGAAAAGGGAAGAATATTGATGTCAAAGGAATATGCATCCTCATTCATCCTGATTTTTTTGTTAAATCTCCTTCTTTTAGTCTCAAAACTATGTGTTGTGGTCTTTATTTTATGAATCACGTTATGACGTTTTGTGAAAAATCTGTATGTGATGAAGAAAAATTGATATTTTCGGATTCAGTGTACAGAAATTACTGTAGAACATGTAACAAGTTCAGGACAATAAAACCATCGCGGGCTTGTGTAATTTTCAGCAAAACTTTGCTTTTAGCTGTTTTTTGTTTATAAATAAATTAGAAAAGATTGATTTACTGTCTTGTGCTTATGTTAGATATCACTTTGTATAACTGTAGTTCTTCATCTGTGTTTAATTCAGTTTCTATAATGTTTGTAATTTTTTGTCACAAACCTGATGAATAAAGAGGAGGATTTCTTAAGTGTAATTTAAGTTTTAAATTAATGTAAATGGTTTTGTATTTAAGATAGTTATGTAACATTGGCAGATTTTTTTTATCTTTTTCCTGATAGTATAATTTTGTCAGTTTTATGCACTGTAGATACACAGTTTAATAAATAACTCATATAACTAGATATATTTAAAGTTTTTATTTTTTGCAGTTTGAAGACTTCTACAATAGTAAATTTAGTGGCAGAAAACTAACATGGTTACATCACTTATGTAATGGTAAGTAGTGAAGTAATGTAAATAAAAAGTATGTGCTATCATAATAAAACAAATAACCATGGTAAGTCTGGGGCTCACGCTGAAGCTGGGTTTTGATACTTGTAGTGGACACAACACAAATTCACCTTGATTTAGCTAACTTGTATCACAAACATATGTAAAACTTTATTTTCTTTTTTTTTAATTGGTGTTACATTATTTTCTTAGTATAAGAAATTGAACATTGTTTGATATACACGACTGTTAATTTTACTGTGAGAATATTTAGATTATATTGTGCGAGCATTAAAGTAAATTATTTTTAGAAGCGATAGTTATGGCAAGTTTGCTTACATAACTTCTTATGAATCATTTGTTGTATAGTTCGATTGTTGTGAATTGACATCATGTTACTCAAACCTTCCAAATTTTTTCTTGTTGCTTTAAGTTACATCATACATCTTGTTACATCATAATGTCTCATAGTTTGTAGAGTAAGTTCTAAGCCTCAGTTGGGCAATATATATATATATATATATATTATTGTAAAACAAGTGGACTGTGTGCCATTTATTTATTGTTGAAATTTATCACCAATAAGTCACAGGCATCTGCTGCAAAGAATCCTGCCCACACATACATCTACATATACATAAAAACATGACAAACTTTCAGTTATTAGATATGATATAACAGCAGAGTTACCACTTAAGATTTATAATTAAAAAGCTACTTATTTCACCATTTATACATGAGATTTTATGTAGTAACGATTGAAAAAAGGGTAGAAATGTATTGTATCATGACCAAAATACTCATAAGGTAAATATTAAAATACAATTTTGTTTGTTGGCTACTAAAACGATCACATTATTTACTTTAAAATGCGCTAACTTTAAATTCCAAACCAATACAGAAATAAAGAAATCGTGTATAATATTACACTATTTACTTGAGTACATTATATATGCAATATATTATGCATTAGATTGTTATAATTGTTTTTTATTTACAACAGAACATAGCTATCAAAGTATTAAGATATTTTTTTTACAATCATAAAAGTTTTTAAAACCACATCTGATGAATTTTATTATGTTCAAGAAAGTATCTCAATAATATTGGAAACTCCTGTTCAGATTGTTCATCTTGAGACCAAATCCACGACAGCAAGAAGAGTTTCAATATGACAGCATAACACAAAACAAAGTATGCTGTGTTTAGATGATATACAGCATTTGTAAAGCATATAAGTAGTTCTATTGTAGAATAAAATAAAATCTTAAAAGAATTTGAATTTTGAGGCTTGCAGTGTTTGGACTATAGAGTGTTTAAGAAGCAGGATCAGGGAAAGGACATTAAATATTACATGCAATACCTGATAAGTGGAAAGAGGCTCAAGGATTGGGACTTGAACCTAGAACCTCTGGCTAACAATTGGATCTACTAGTAATTAATTTATATGAAATCTATTACAAACCTAAATTTATTTTTAAATTACATTAGAAATTGTGGAAAGGACAATTTATAATAGTAAATATTGAACGACAAAGCCGTTAAGTGTCAGAGCTCTGGCCCTGTCAGCCATAGGTCGTGGGTTAAGGTCTAGGTTCCAGAGTCTCTTCATTTCTTACTACACGTATAAACACCATACTATGTTATAATCAAGCAATTAACGGGTTGACTTACTACTACCAAACTAAATTAAACATAGTTAAAAGATAGACTGGAATCTTGACTTAGCCAATTAATGGGTTGACTTACCACTACCCAACCAAATTAAACAAAGTTGCAAGAGACTCTAGAACCTATACTTATGCAATTAATAGGTTGACTTACCACTACCCAACCAAATTAAAAAAAGTTACAAGAGACTCTGGAACCTGTACTTAGGAAATTAATGGGTTGACTTAAGTTAAGTTATATGCACATTGATGGAAATGACTTATACTTTTGGATAATGTAGTTGAGAAAGAAACTGTTAATAAACTTATCTTGTATCCTTCTTAACCTTTAAAAACATTTTAAATGTACCTGTGATTATGTAATTCATTCAAAAAGTCATATTTTAAAACATTCTTAACTAGAAACCACATATCTTTATTTTCAGCGGAAGTGAAATTGTGTTACCTAAAAAAACCATACATCGTGACCATGGGAACCTACCAGATGGGGTTGCTGTTATTGTATGAGTCAGCAGATACTTTAAGCTACAAAGAACTTCAAGAAAATACAAGACTAAATGATGAACAACTAGTGAAGCATCTACAGAGTTTGGCTGATGCTAAACTTCTAATTACCACTGATGTAAGAATTTCTATCATTCATTTCTTCTTCCAGATCCTTTTTACTAGGTTTGCATGGGACTTCTACATAATTGATTCAAGGCGTTTTTTATAGGTTTTTTTAGTTACAGTATATTAACTTCTGTACCTAAGTTTGTGAAACTTTTTAGTGGTTTTTAAAAGGGTTTTTTACTAATGTTTCTATTCTTGCTGATATTTTCAAGATATTATCTTTATTGGTTTAATATTAATTTGTAGAATAACAGAAAATACTAAAAGGTTACTAGATTTACGTGAATTTAGTCTTTATACTTTCTAAAGTCCCCTGCACAATTTTTACCCTCTTTTCCTTAAAATTTTAAAACTGTAATAAGCTCATACATCACTTATTATATATAGGTAGTCACTGATTTTGTGAGGAGGAAAAAAATAAAAATTTAATTATGTTCTTGTATTCAATAAAACCAGTTTTTCTCTATAGCTCTATGGGAGCCACCAAGAGTCGAGCTTTGTTTCAATGTTCTACTTAGTTCTACTGAAATAGAAATGTTTATGCAAAAAATAACTTTTAGCCACTTTACAGTCTGCATATAATCACTCCCAAAGAGAAGGTTAAGACCACAACACAAATATTGTAACTTTTTGTACATAAACCAAATATGCTGTGTTTCTGTTCCAGTGTTAGGACACTCTAGGAGCCTGAAGGAATGTTTAAAATATAATTTTAGAGATATTAACAAATAATGTCTTGCACTTCACAATATGATTCAACAAATAAATTCAAAACTTACGAGGATCGTCTACCCAACTTATACGTATACGATGATTAGCACGTTTAAATGATTCACAGATTTTAAAAACAAAGTGGGAGTATGTGCAATATAACTTGAAATATCCATTTTGTTGTTGCATTGTTTTTATGAAATGATAATATTTTGCCTTTATTATATTGTTTAGAGGATTTATCAGCTTTGAAAATGTATCAATGAATGCAGTACATAATAAAATTTAGGTTTCTGTACTTAAGATGATAAAGCATCAGAGCCATCTAATGGGCAATCATAAAGTTATAATGTGCTCTATATTATCTTTTACAATTTACACTAAATCCTAAGCCTTTAACAAGTCTGTAAAATGTCTTCTTAAGATAATAGAAGATGCTACTTAAATGATTAGGTATCATTCTAGGTGCCAGTATTTTTTTGGAGGGGGTAAGATATTTAAGACTTGTATAAACATACCAGGCATGCTTTAGTTTTTTTTTTCAGATTAATTTTATTTCATCAGGTAAACTCCTAGGATTGTTTAAAAAAAAGCTTGTTGACACCAAGATTTGAGTAGTTTATGTGATTTATAAACATGTCACGTGACTCAATGTTTTTTAACGTTTTACCTAATTTTCATAAACTGTATTTTTTCCCAGTCAAATCTTGGCTAAACTCGGGCCACACAGTGAAACTTTTAAACCTAAAAAAACTGTTATTTTTGTCCTCATCTTGTAATTCAGTTCAATATAGGTTAAAAAAACCTATGAACTCAAAAGTATACCTATATTTTTCACCAAAAACATTGCAACCAAATTTGATATTGTTGTGATGATATTACTATGATTGTACAATACAGATCCAACGAAA